ATATTACATGGAGGACAAATATAAGCTAATATTTTTTAGGTCGACCAATACATCCAGCTCTACAACTTCTAGGAAAGCTAGATCGACCACGATAAATATTACAACAGATTAGAAGTCTGTATCTTAATCTAAAATTTAACAAGGAAATGAAAGTAAAAATCAGACAATGGGGAGCCTTCCATTCCCTGCAATCCTCACGCGTTAGCGTCTTTTTTGTAATTTCTTCTTCCAATGTATTTGTGCGCCAACTTACGTTTATTTTGTATATCTTCTGTAGCAAGAAAGGCATTAAAAATGGGAACATCTATCTTCTCAATATTCATTAATCTGTTAATAGTAGTAAAAGATATAATATCTCTTAAATTGAGAATACTAAGGCCTCTCTAGGACAACTTCACGTAAAAAGTACCATTAGAAGTAAAGTGGAATAATTTACATAAATTCTTAATCCTTTTCCTGATAATCGCGTCAAATATATTCAAGTCTTTAGGTATATATATCCAGATAAGTATCACACATAAATAAGAAGAGGCAGAGTAGGGTTGTTTTGTTCAGTTAAGATGGATTCCTTGATTTTTCGTTTACAGCAATGGAATTTATTAGCTTCAGGAACAAGAGTTTCAATTTATGGAAGTAGCCATCAAAATCTTGCTTCTCACTAGAGCATGCAAGATACTTTGGGTTTCTGTACAAATGTTTAAATAATTAGGTTATCCTCAAGAATGGAGATGTTTTATCGACTCATCTAAAGTTAGTCTGAAAGCTGTAGTTTGGTACAATGGGAACACTATGCCACCAAATCCTGTTGCTCATGCTGTGAACATGAAAAAACTTGTCCAAGCATGCAGAATATACATTCTTAAATGCAATTTTCAATTAATACATAAATTTATTAAAGAAGAAGTTATTTTCATAATATATAAGAATATTTGAATAAATCTATCATAACTCGAAAACTAGAGGTGATCAGTAATTTTCAACATGATTTTTAGAATGAGCATCGTTGTCAGGGTTTTAAATGTGAGTGGGCTGAAGATTCTTCTACAGTAGATGTATGTGACTTGTTGGCGATAAGATCGAAAAATAAATGGACAGCACACAATCAACTTGCTTTAAAAGAATATACTCCAAACAAGTCAAACATATGTATAAAAATTATTTTCTTATCAAAAGTCCAGGTGGGCTGGTTCAGTTATTTTAGAACCATATTGACAAGACGAAATATTTTTCTGTACTCTGTTTCTTACTACACAATCTGCGATAAATTCACTTACGCTACCACATGGGTTACCACAGTTGTTACTCGAACTTTAAATAATTGTCTCCTTTTCGTCAAATTCCACACAGATGGGTTCAATTACTTTAGAACACTCTTTGACAAAACAAATATTCTTCTCATTTATGTTAAACTGTGAAATTCACTTTAAAATATCGCCAGTTATGACTAATCACTCACACGTCACCTAACTTCACGCTTTCTAACGTTTTTCTGACTGAACATTACTTGACTTGTACTCGCTTGGTCGCCTATATTTATATCTTGTTCACTGAGGCCTCGAAATTTCTATAAACTACGCGAGCGACGCTATAATGTAACAATACTCCGAAGATTCGTGTAACATGGTGGCAACAATATTACTAAAGCCATCTAGCTGCAAACATAACATACGACTCGTACAGAGTCACGCAACGAAACCTGTCACAACCAACTCTTCCGAAACAATCAACCTTCAACACTCCTGTAATAAAAACTAACCAATCATCAAACACTAAGTCACAAAATATACTAAATAATAACGCTTACACTAGACAGTCTTGTATATCCAACAATCGTCAAATTACTCAGAAACGGTTGTATTTTTTCTAGTAGCAGAGAAAAAAAACTTTTAGTTGCCCAGTATATTTTTACGAATGTTTAGGAACAATGGTAAGACTGTGAGCACACTTTTAGGTAATATATATGTATATTATATTCGTTTACTTATGTTTTGTTTAATTTTTCCATTATAATACATCCCGTCACACCAAACATGCTCGCCCTTTCAGCCGTGGGGGTGTTATAATGTGACGGTCAATCCCACTATTCGTTGGTAAAAGAGTAGCCCAAGAGTTGGCGGTGGGTGGTGATGACTAGCTGCCTTCCCTCTAGTCTTACACTGATAAATTAGGGACGGCTAGCGCAGATAGCCCTCGTGTAGCTTTGCGCGAAATTCAAAAACAAAACAAACAAACCATTATAATACTAACGCTATATTTCTATGGCTCAGTTGACTTCTGAAAGTGACATTAATTAAATTTAGTAATTTAGTTTTAAAACTCTAAAATATATAGTTGAAAAATTATGTAACTCGAATGATCTTCAGATTCACCTGAAAGTTGCTTTTAAACCTAATTTCAGATATACATTATTTTCCTACTACAAAGATCGTGTGACGATTGTCCACCGTTCTCGTCTTGTCTATTTATACACGTCCGGAGATGTATAGCTTCTATTGGTGAAACTAAACGTTACCTTAAAGTACGGGCATTTAAACACATGGATATATCTTTAAAAACTGGAAGAAATGTTACAAACACTCCAAACTCAGCTATATATCAACACAATACGGAAACAGGGCATCAAATTTATTTCTCCTATTTAAAATCCTCTCAACAGCTCAGCATGATATTGAACTTCTGATAAAAGAGACGTTGTACATAAAAACTTTTCTTCCGTTTCTAAATAATATATACTTTCTTAATTTGATTTAATTGTGTTAATATGAACTATTTCATTCGAGCTACATACTTTTCACTTTCTTTTGTTCTTCTTTTTGTATTCAAGTTGTTTACTTGTTATTTATTACAGATTGTATCATATTTCTGGTGTAATTACCATTATGTTTATTTTGTACCTCTAGTTTACCGAAGATGGAATTCTGAAGATTCCGAAACATTTAGTAGATTCTTCATGTAATTACGTTCGTGTTTTTCTTTATATTTCGTTCAACCTTATGAACTGAAGCGTAAGCAACGCTGTGACACATACCTCAACTATCTGATGATAAGACAGACACTGGAAAAATCAACAGATTAATTTATCATTACTTAATTACGTGTTTCCATATTTTCTCGTGTTACTACATGTAATAACTTTATAGTTCCTATCATACATATCTTAAAATATGACACCTATGGTGTTCTGTATTATAAATAGAATGGTGGCGGCATCTATTGGAGCTGGATACTTCTATATGATTTAAACATATTTTTAAAAAAACACGGTTTTAACAACGAATTAGTACTAAGTAAACTTCAGATTAAAATTCGTGTAGTATTATTTTTGTGTTCAATGTTGAATGTAGTCGGATGCCAGTAGTATTGACCATAGTTGATACCCTCTCCCGTGAGGGTTTGTCTGAGATGAGTGAGCGGCATTCTTTACTCTAGCTAGTCTGTGCATTTGCTACATGAGAATAATATGTGAATTTGGTGCCATATTCTTATTTACTGTTAAAGTTTTGATTTCCATAGCTTGTTGTAAACATATAGAAGTTCTTAATTGTTTATATTGTGTGTTTTCTTGTTGTTTTCTTAATATTATATGAATCGCACAAAAAATATACAGAAAATAGCATCAATGTTGTAATTAATCCCACTAATTACTGTATGGTCTCCTGCATTATTTAACACAGTAAACGAGTAGTCACTTCTTTGAGTTTAGGTAAAAACTTAAAATTACTCAGTATGATGAAATATGTAAATCCTATCGGTCAGCATTATAAAAACAAGTCAGTAATTTGAGGGTTAAATAATTTTAAATGTAACTGTTAGAATACAGTCTTTCTGGTGGTATTGTATAAATTTTTTTTAAATCATAGTGGCCTCTGTTTTGAAACAACTTGCAGTTTCTAACAAATTATTACGGTTTTTCTTGTTCTGATCAACTAGAGGTTCCTGGTAAAGGAACCCTGGTATTTCTTGTTAATTTCAGTGTAAATCTAAGTTACCCTGGTTTCCATTATTATTATCATTCCTAGCTCATTGTTCTAAAAGGATTATAGACTAAGTCTTAAAATAAAAAAGTTATACGCACAAACAAGAACACCTTGTTAATCTAAAGTTTATGTTTAAGAGTGCACTTAGCTTAGATCTACCTAGCTTATCGTAAACTAGAGGTAGAAATGCATATGGAAATTCAAATACATTTTCAGTTTCTATCATTCAAAACAGCCCCCCCCCCCTTAAGGTGGCTTAGTTGTTAGTCTGGGGCTTATAATATTACAAATCGGGTTTTGATAACTGTGATAAAGAAAGCAACATAGTCCATCGTGTAGTTTTGCATTTAACAACAAACAAATTTATTCAATCAAAAGAGAAATTCATAAACAGAAACAAAAAGGAGTTTGGTTTGTTGGAATTTTGCGCAAAGCTACAGCCGTCCCTAATTTAGCAGGGACGGCGGTTATTCAACACCACTCACTTCCAACGAATACTGGGATTTATCGTCACATTATAACGCCCCCACGACTGAAAGGGCGAGCATGTTCGGTAAAAAAAAAAAAAAAGAGGAAACTCCGGAAAGTTTTCAATACTTTGTTAATAAAAGTGAAAATTAATATTGCTACAAAATAGCAATAAGTCGAAACTTCTAGATTGTTACCATAATTTTAGGATCTGTAGAATTTTTGAAAATGAATTTCTAGACCTATCTTGCAACGTCGTCACAAAACATCAAACTTACGGATACTATACCAAAGTTTCAAATTTAAATATTCACTTTTAAATTTTTCTCTCAAAAAATTTTTGAATTTATTAATTATTTTAAGATCATAATATATTTTGATTTATTGTGTCCTTGAAATGCATTTCTGACTATTATTCACATTCAAAAAAATGTCAATTGTGTTGTGATTAATGATGCAACTAAAGGCAACTTTAGTAAAGTAGTGCCCTCTACAAACTAAGAATGACCATCGTGAAGTGTCTCGAACAGTCTGGATAGTACGTGACGAAATAATAGGGGAGTGTTTCGTCACCACCGACGTTGCGTAATAACATTTAAGCTATAAATATAAACGCTTAGAAGCGCAACTAAGCTTGTTGCATTGTAAAAATGAGTAAGATGGCGAGTAGGTTGGTGGCGCGTGTTATTCCTGTGTGGAAGTGTGTTCCTCGGCTATCACATTGTTCACGTAGAAATGTACTTCATCGCTGCTCTTCGCCTGGCCATATTAGACACTGTTCTGGTCGAAGATGGGGTGAACCGTTTTCTGAACTTTCTTCTGTAATTCGTTCTATGGAAAGACAGATTCAAGAAGTCGATAGAGAAATGAAACGTATGTTCGACGAAGTTGACCGGGCAAGTCCCATACGATTTCCTCGGGCACTTCAACCGTGGTGGTGGTCACGAAGACGTAATGTGCCCGTAGAAACTGCCGGCGACGAGAATCGTCAATACAAGCTAGAACTTGATCTATCTGATTTTAACCCAGAAGAAATTAAAATTACTGTTAAAGATAACCTGCTAACTGTTCAAGCTCGTCAAGATGTCAAAAAACCTGATGGATCTCGCTTTCTACGAGAGTACAATCACGAGTACACCTTACCAGAAGAAGTTAATCCCGAGGCTGTACGTTCTCAATTAAACCCAGACGGTACGTTAATTATTGAAGCACCTTTGCCCGCTATTGAGCTACAGCAACCAAAAGAAATTCCGGTAACTAAAGAACATTCGCAAGATAATAAAAAGGAAGAGGCCTCATGATTGCCATCGGTATTGTGCTGTGATTTTGTAGAAAGTATAATATGAAGCTATTTCCGTGGGCAAAATAAACAATATAGTGTACAAGCATTTATTATTAGTAACATTTTAAGTAATTTCTTGTTTTACCTTAATCTAGTTTAAAAGTTAAAATAATACGAGACCGTCTGTAATATTACTACTTTTATTAACATTTAGTGTTACAAAGAGAAAACTTTGATATAATAATTACTATTGAAGAAGACTAATTATATTTCAATGTATATTATTGTATGCTCCCTGATAGCGTTTATAATTTGCATATAAACATATTTGCGTATTAATTTTTTTTAACTTGGAAAAATTAAGTTTGTGAGTTAATCCAAAAAAAATATTGTAATGATTATTACTTCGCAGGTCTTTTAGCATACTGTAGCAATCTCTGTTTTCTGGCGACGTTAAATTTTCTTGCACCTTAAAATGTGTATAAATACGTCGCAAATCTTAATATGTGTTTAGAAGAAGTCTTGAACTTTTTATTTAGCCGTATTATTTAGTATTACTAGTTGTTATTAAGGAACTTCAATGTTCTTTATTTGCCCTAAAGTTCAATCCTTTGCTTAGTAAATTGAAAACTATTTGATACACTTAGAACAAAATGATATCATTATTACTTTAGCTAATGTCAATTTTTTTCTTTTGTATTGTGATAATAAAGTATCGTTTAAAATGTATATTATGCGACTTATTGTCAGATTCTTAATTGGTAGTAGTATAAAACTTTTTATTGTTAGAAGTATTTCATCAGATGTAGTCCATAGACTACATAGTCCCCCCCCCCCCTGGGTATTTTTATGTCTTATAAGAGACTGTAGAATGAGAATATAGATGTTAACAGTAAGAATTTTGGGCTGTATTACCTACCTTTCTTGTTTTAATAACGATAGGAGAGGTCATGTCGCTTCAGACATTTTTTGTGTGACTAAATCTATGGAATGTAGCCAGTAGCTTTACTTATGTTATGTGACAAAACAATGTATATCACAAAAAGTGGAAGAAATTATCTTTAAATTAAGATATTATATGTACAAATGTAATAGATGATTAACAAAATAGAGGGCCTGAAACTTGTTACTGAAAAATTACATATTGCAGTTTTGCGTTAACATTTTTTCCCAGTTAATATTAAGGGTTATACAAGAGAGCAAAGTGATAAGTAGAATGTAAAATGTTCAGTTGAAGTGTTCTTTACACCGAAGTAAAAGAAACGGTTGACAGTAGTATACAAGTCATTGTAGCAGTTGCTAAAATCATCACCAAACTTGGCAACATTTACTTGCAAGCACGAGCCAACTATTTGGCCTATTATACACTCCACCCCCAATGCTGTTTATGCAAAAAATAAAAATAAACAACGGCTTCATATAAATGTCCCTTTACAGCTTAATATTTTATTACTTTTTAAAGCTTTCAGGAGGTGAAAGGAAAAATCGAAGAACAGTGTGTATCGTTGGGAAGAAGTCATGGAAACATTTCAAAGTTGCAGATAAAATAAAAATATATATAATGAAAATAACACTGGATATAAGTACATGTTTGTTTGTTTTTTCATAACTTAAAGTAGTGTAAAGCTGATATTTTGAGCCTATTTACATGATTGCAGAAATATAAATAACGAGTCGGAATTTTAGCGTTACAAATATTTGATCGGGTTGGTTAGAGGGGGCTGCTCTATAGTCCTAAACACCATTGTTTCTAAGTAGGATTAATCATGTTAACATATGGCAAAGTCTTCTGACTTTGTAAACAAAAGTGTTTTTTGTTGTTTGTTTTTTTTTCATATAAAAGCAAATAAAGTAATGGGGGTGGGGAGTAACTTTAGAACAGGAATACCATGTATGCTCTGGTGTATGAAGTGAACACGTTCAAGCAAGATTAATTCAGAAATTCTAATGCCCGAAAGACAAGTTAGAAATGTATTTTATTTGTTCTGTTGACAATATATAATAAAATAAAAATCGAGAATACTAACTCGTTACTCACTTTTTTTACCTTACTATTCAATTTTCTTGACAGTTACTGACCCAGTTGGCTTGTTGATATACATATTGGTCATCACCAGGTGTACCCATCTTTTTCGTGTTATACTTCCACATGCTGGAGGTAACTAGTAAAAGTTAAGTTGAATTAGCAGTTAGGACTCCCCAGCCATTTTCAATTTCCTAGTATGGACATAGCTCTTTCCACAGCTAGCAAAAGTACTTTGATTTGGAAGAGGGTTTCTTATTATATAATATTAGATTATGTATATTATAAATATATATTATAAATCACGAAACTTTAACGACACAAGT